TTAATTGCCGATATGTACTCCTATGAGCAAAAATAGTAAGACTTTGTTCTTCATTTTAGTATTTCTTAATTTAGTCTTCGAACTCTATGTCGTCACTCACAAAAGTAATTCTTTGTTGCCCCAAAACACTTGTGTCAACGCTTTTTCCAATCCTCGAAACAGTTGTTACGGAATAGCTTTCAATGCTCTTAGCGATTCACGTTTGAAGTCTTCAATTGACTCAAAACTGATTCCCCAGAGAGGTTCTTTCAATTTGCTGAATAGTCAGAAGTCACACGGTGCTAACTCAAGTGTGTAAACCGACACTGCTTTTTAAAAAAAATTTTTTAAATTTTTTAACCAATCCTACTTTTACTTTTCATAGGGTCTAATGATCTTTCAAAATCTTCTGATCCTTCCCATGTTCACATATATAAAGAGGTCTGTTACTGTTGACTGAAATATGTATGTGCCAACGATTCTTTCCGTAAAATCACACCGAAGAGTGAGTTTTTGGGAATATTACTGCGTCCCAACAATGCCTGGTGGATTATCAATACTAAAAATGCGTTAGTTTTGTTTCTCAATGTACGTACCCATTTAACCATTCCTGGGCAAAAATTGCGGTTGGGGTCAATTGGGTCTTCTTCCATACTCTGTTTCACAGCAGTAATAGTGCTCACTCCCTAACAGAAACATTATTTTCTTGATGAATTTGAACGATTTACAAATTTTGTTATAAAGTAGTTCATTCTGTTATGAAGTGGCAWACCAAGAAATGCAAAAGCTGTCATTTTATCCAGAAGAAAACAAGGATTCGGTGTGGTTTGTAAGCCGTCGGAATCATCGGTCGATAATTATTCAAAAATGAAGCCGATGGGAACGTAATCGTCAATGGCGACCATTATCGCGTCATGATATCTSACTATTTGATGCCTGAAATTGAAGATCGTGATCTCGGCGAATATCAAATTTACTGGATTTTTTTTTAACAAAAAGTCACCTTCATAGCGTGTAAAATTTTTCACAGAACACTTTCWGTAAGTTTCCCAAAGGAAAATTCAAGATATTTCCATGTAATTCCTTCAAGAAACCGCATATTGACACCAGGGATTGTTGTCAAAATAGGGCGTAGTCGACACTCAACCCACCGTCATAAGAACTTCGCATGGTTATTTACATAAGTAAAGATGTAAAGACAACACAGATGTACTATATGTGAATGACCGTCATTTGTCAGCCGAAGTCAGAATTTCCCTACATACCGCTTTTACAAAAATCCGCACTTGAGAAGCACATATGTACGTACGTATATATGAATGCCTGTGCCGGCTTGTAGGTAAGTGGGATTTCATGCTTCACAATTTAATGCCGTCACTAATCCGATTAAAATTACCGGTACACTCTCGGGGTACCAATTCTTTGCGGGGAAAGCGATCGAAAATTCCAGTAGCAAAGTTAACGCGGCGTAGCAAGAAAATGGTCACGTACTTATGGATGTGCAATGGGTCTGCGCGAATGCATTGTCATACATATTTTCATATGTATGCACACATGTTCAGCGTATGTCACGTAGCTTGTATGCACTGTATTGCATACATATTTACACATACATATGTGCGTATGTTTGAAGGGAGCTTACATATATCCCGTCAGCGAACTGTTTTCCATCGCAGACTGCGGCAATTTCCACCTTAGCTTGGAAGTTCTCTTGTGCTGACCAGTCTGTRGTACAGATGTTTATGCAGATATATGTATGTATGTATGTATGTACGYATTGTGAAGACACCGTCCGCTACTTCGCTTTAAGCAATGCCTCTGCCGCATGTCATTGCCTGTGGACCACTGATTGATACCAGGCAGACGCAGCTAAGTCGCGGTGTTCGCTCATCAACGCAGGCATATTGAAATTTATACAAAAATTGCATTGATATATGTATGTACATACATATGTATGTATGTGCGTGTGTATTTTGTGTATATCCTGACCATAGAGTGCCTACTGCTGTCAATTTCTAACCAATGCCTGCCTTTTAGCTGCCATATACATTTGGCATTCCGACCTGCTCAGCCGTCTAGCCAAAGTGAGAATGTRAAGTGTGCTAGTTGTTGTTGTCAGCCGAAGTAATTAAGCAACAATTAAGCGTAAACAATTGCCGGCTTTGTTGGTGCAACTAAAATCTACGCAAAATGCCCAAAGTCAATTATGTTGACTCTTTTCGTGGCATCGGGGTATTGGTATAATCGACTGGGGAAGCGCTGACGCCTATAAAGCGCATTGTCAACGCTATTGAATGGCTATTGTGTTGGTGTTTAGCGGTCGCGCCTTTGAAATTAAGCAAGTCGTCGATAGCCGAAATGTTTCATGGGAAAAAAACGCATTTGTCGCGTAGAATGGCAGACTTAGAGGACAAAGCGGAAGCCTAGAGACGTCGTTTGGCCAAAACCGCCTTCACTTTTGAAGGCAATATATTCATACCTATATACATATGTATATACCGTATACATACATATACTCAAAGCACAAACTGCATTAGTTGCGGCAGCTCCTCGTTAAAAGTAGCTGACCAGCTGACGTGGTTCTTAGCCACTGCTGATCCTGTCGCCTTCTGAAAATCGCCGTCAAACTGMCGCGACGCTTCGAATACTACATTCACTCATGCATTATATACATATGTACATATGTGCATATGCCACCAAGCGAGCGTCTAATACACTTTATTAAGCGAAGCATATTCATTAAGAGAATATTAAATGCTTTGCCATAATGAAATCGCTTAAGCTGCCGGCTGTCTTTCCATTTGATTGTCGCATTTCTCATGAACAGCGTCGCTTACGAATGCTTAAGCACATGTCGACTACCATGCACCTTACATACATATAGCATATGTAATACGCTGGTGATTAAAAGCGACTTAATGAACTAATGAGTTATGTTGAAATGACTGCGTCGAAAAATAATTAGTAATTATGGCAAAAGATGATTAGCTGGTGATTTAGAACGCATCTGTGTGCTGACTTATGCAAGAACATCGAGGTATTCGTTTAAATGATGAGAAAACAAGGCGATTGATGGGGCATGATAAGTCTAATATACATTATAAGTAATTAAAAGTTTATTATAATAATAATAATAATAATAAGAAGAGACAAATATATATTTATATTTGTTATTTTTAGATTGTAGGTCAAATCATTGATTTCAAACCTTCTTCACTATAATAGCTGTAAAGTATTTATCCCAAAGCTTCCGCAGCCGCCCGCCCTATAGCCCAAATGTGGCCCTCCGGACTTTTTCTATTTCCTTGCCTGAAAAGGCCGATGAAAGTCAACCGTTTCTAAACTTTCAACATTCAAAGTCGCCCTCCTTTTTCCCTATGCGACTTCAGAACGCTCTTAAACCATACTTCCTTTAATTTGTGTTATTTTATATTTGAAAACGGTTTTTGAATTTCGCTCACCTTTTATATTTTTCAAGATCTAAATTCAACATGAGACACAGCTTCTCTTTCAGCTTCGTCAGCTTCTTATTCAAATCGGGTGTAATACCAAAGCTATCATTTTCTAACCCTATTTCCGAAAATATAATTTTATTTTACAATTTTCGTAAGCCTAGTAATAACTGCATTAACGAGATTGTAGCTCAGACGATCCCATTGTTACCAAATATTTTCTTCTATATTTCTGAATATCTGAAACCACTTCACTGATTAAGGTGATACTAGAGATTAGCGATAAAATACTTGATAGAAAACCATTGAATATCGGTTAGTAAGAGAGAGATCTGTCTACCAAATTCAAAACTACGTTGAGATTTCTGAAAATGTAATACCCAAACCAAGCAAAGTTCTACTGGGACATGCTGTCATTTTTGGAACAAGTAATACTAACCCTTGCACTGTCGCTGAACACACGAATTTAGGAATACACAGTATAACTGTGCTAGACGCTCGCGTAAGCCGAACTGATAACCTTATCACTAAAGTAATCGTACACGCTGACCTTTTAACACTTATTTACCATAGAGTCACATAGCCTTTTATACTATACTGAATATTGATATACAAAGGCATTGTATGTTTGTATGATGGCACTTTCTTCACAGCATCTTTTCGCTGATAACATTTTTGAGAATTCTATAGGCTTGCCTTGCCCGCCGCTACAACGAGTAAAAGGCTGTTATCAGTTAATAGTTCGATCGTCAAACTCAAGGCTTTGGTAAAATAAGGCATACAACATGTTTGAGAGAGATCATACTAATTGATAAGGTGTGGTATTCAAATCCCGTTCGATGGCTTAATTTCGTAGAATGTGCGACAAAAAATGGGAACCCACACAATACGATGTAGCCTGATGAAAATATTTAGTATACTAGAAGAGAAAAGAAATATGACAAAAAAGKAAAATATTTCCCATACCGGGAATCGAACCCGGGCCTTCTGGGTGAAAGCCAGATATCCTAGCCACTAGACCATATGGGATATGATAACTGCAAAGCTATTTTGTCAACATATTTTTTCTCAAGGTCATATAAATATACACACCTTTGTAATGCCAAATCATAGGCAAAATAATGTGTTTTTGGAAAAATTACTAATTTTCTAAAAATAAAAAAATTAAAAATAAGATTAAAATGAAAAGAAAAAATAAAAATAAAAAATAAAGTAAACTAAAATAAAATAAATAAATAAAAATATTGGGATTGTCTAGGAAAATGCGACATAAATACAATTTTCGGTTTTTGAAAGCAAGAAACGCTTTGGTATCGAGTTCATAAAAAGCTATTTCGTGCAAAATTTACATATATTTTCATATTTTTTTATTAAATCTAAAGTTCTATAATAAATGCGAGCGCTAATCTGCTCCTGTACAACACTGCTAATGCTCATGATAACAGTGTAAGGACAGTTTACATGCCGCTTTATGCTAAGCTCAGCTAATATTGCAATAAAATTGACGACATGTGGCAACGCCAAAGCGCGATGTTCGCATGGCCTGTCTTCAAACGTGTCTGACAACTCGTAGCACGTCTTATCACAATACTTAGTACAGCTTATACGGTCGAAGTGTAAAGATTATCTTTAATATTTATTAAACGGAAGATGTCCGAACTACAAAACGTATCGTGTCTTGGCGGCGGTGTGCAATTCTGGAAGGATTTTATCAAGATCTATGAGGAATCGCCAGCGCTTTGGGATCCCAGAAGTATGGCTTACAAAAAGCCATATCTCAAGCGTGAAGCCTACACCAAACTACGTGACAAACTGCGCGAAATCGATGCCAATGTACAAATCGACTATGTGAAGCGACGCATAAACGGGCTGAGGTCCTGCTATAGACGCGAACTGCGACGCATACAGGACAGCAAGCGGAAGGGTGATAATTTGTACCGGCCAACATTGTTCTACTTCAAAGAGATGAATTTTCTCGATGACGTGCTCGACATTGATATAGAACGCGACGAGCGCGAAGGAAAAGTAAGTGAATGAGATTGCCGATTGCCAGCGCTTTTATTTCAACTGATTGTTTTTTTTGTTTTTGCTTTTGTAGATTGAAAGACGCGGTCGTAAGCCGAACTCAAGCAATAAGCTTACGAAGAAGCGCGCGCCTCCAGATTCGACGCAAAGTTCGAGCACCGATGAAGATAGCGAAAAGTCTTTAGCAGCCACAACGTCAAAGTCGCCAACAGCGACACAAACACAACAGCAACAGCAAACCGTCGCTACTGCAAGCACACAGCAGTTGAATGTCTTGCCGCTGCAAAGTACGAGCACCGCTGCTGGCGTTTCCAATACACCAGCGCTGACAGCAGGGCTTTCGATTGAAGCACAGACTTTAGGCGCTAGCTGGGTAGCGCTCTATCATCGCTTGGAGCGCGATCAGCAGCTCTATGCCAATAAGGCCATAATGGAGGTTTTGTATCAGGGCGCGTTGGGCCGTCTACACGCTGACTCCTACAAATCGCTGGAGAGTGATATGAGCCACAATTTTCTTGACGATCATCGCATTATGGACGCGATCAACGAGGAGTTGGCCGCCGATTTTATAACAAAAGCGGATGTGGAGGGTTTCTATTGAGAAACTTGTTATTATTTTTATTTTGTGGTTAATTTTTGATACACAGGGTTTTTTATAAGTATGGAAATATGTAACATAAGAAAATGTATGTTAATAAATTTATTATTTAAATAAATAAATATGCATGTATATACATATAGTATTTCTTTATTCTATGAAACTGCCAAAGTCTTCCTGCTTTTTGCTAGTCTTTAGAGGTATTGAACAACGAAAAAAAAAATATTTTGAACGGTTAGTTTGTACGATAGCTATATACATACTATAGTATTCCGATTTGAAAAATATTTTCAGAGATTACACCGCTGCTTTGGGCCATAAGTTATGCCAAATTTCAAGTAGATATCTCCTCAAATGAAAAAGTTTCCCATACAAGAGCTTAATTTTGAACGTTCAGTTTGTATGGCAGCTATATGCTATAGTAGTCCGATATCGGCGGTTTTGATAAGAGAGTGCCTTCTTGAGAAGAATAGCGACTGAGCATATCTTCAGAGCAATATCTCAAAATATGAAGGGATTTGGTCGCGTATATATATAATTTATAGAGTCTCTGTCATATCCTTCTGATATTACAAAAATCGAGGAAAATTTAGTATACCCTGTTCAAGCTTTAAAAGTATGTAAATGTGTAGTAATGCGCTTATGTACATATCTATAATTTACATATTAACGCCCGAAACCTCACATTTACATACACTTATCTTAACTTTCTCCAATTATATTTATGTCCTGCTAAGGCCTCAAATCATCCACATTTTCATTGTTCGTTTATTAATGCATAAGTGCATATGTTTATTTTTAACGAGAGGCTCTACACACAAGTGCATATGTACAGTATGTAAATATTTATATATACATTTAAATATATAGGGGTATGAGCCTATTTATTTTTGGCACCTAGCTTAGCTCAGCTGCAACGACGACACAGCTGTATAGAGCAACACATATTCCTACATTTTTCCGGCAACACAGTCAGCTGTTTTTCTCCCACAGTTGTTATCAGACGGTGTCCTTACAACTAACGGTGTCTGTGCTTAGCGCTTGCGCGTTATTTTCTGGATACATTTAAGGAACTCTCGCGCTGTATTTACCTGGTATCCTGTATATATGTAAATATGTTTGCGTTAGTTTATTATTCTCTACAGCTGTTGACTAGGAGTGGAGTTATCGAGTGCAATTGATTTTCCAATACTTTCTCAAATGCTGTAAATTTATGCAACTTGTTTTTAAGTGTGTTAAGCACTTTTTACCAACTTTTTTAATTTTTGTTCGTTTTTTATTTGTTTTACGTTTATTTGTGGTTAGATATGTCGACATACATACATGTAGATAGCAAGTGATATTTATATGGCATATACATATGTATGTAGCTCGAGTGAATTCTTCTTTAAGAAAAATATTCGAAAATTTATTGTACAAAAAATATTTGTGAAGAATTTTTCAAATGATGATGTGGAACAATTAGATAAAGCCTTACAAATTTCTTCAAATTAACTATTTTCTACATTTTTCTCAATAAAATATAATAACAAAAAAAACAAGTCGTATAAATAAAACAGACGCTAGAACACCTACTGTTCTTCTGTCTAGCATTATCTAGAACTTGGCTTAGAAATCTAGAAATTTTGCATTTCAAAGGTTTTTATTTCATCAACTGAAAAGGAGGGTTCAGAGCTAACATTGCAAGAAACATTAAGAATTTATTGGAATTTATATGGATGAGACGAAAATGGAGTACAGAGTTGATGCGGATATGTTCAGAGTTTGRCATACGACAGCTTTTTAAAATGCCGGACCCGAACTGCAGTATATTTGAAGCAGAGGTCTTTGTCGTTCGGATAGCCGCAGAGCTAGCTAGGAAACGTCAGAGCTAACTTTCACAACAAATAACGGCCAAAAGTGTCTTGGAAAGCAAGGCAACAGTAAAGAGTGTCACCAAAAGTAAGCGACTACACTTCTGCTGGTTGCCGAGTTGCAAAGGTATCGAGAATTATGAKATAATAACAAGTTACGAGATTGCCAAGAGGGATATGCGTTTGTCAGCCGAGATCGACATTGGTAAACCCATGCATTGTTTATAGGACGAACTGAACAAGGCAAGGAAGATTACAATACAATGGAACGATCTACCAATGCAAAACTAACGAATGCCAAAACTGAAAAATCATGTTTARTAATACTCTCTTTAGCAACTTTGTTGCGAGAGTATAAAAACGCCAGACCAGAAATTATCTAGGCTTTGTCGACACTTAATAGACCTGTCAGAGGTCCGTGGCGGCAAAAGCCAGAAAAATGAGTTTGACTGATCAAAAGGTATGCATGAAATGTCAAGAGCAGGGCGTCAGGAAAACAGTGAATATTCTCTTGCAAACTTGGTCTGAATTGGCACTAGAAGAGGCATTGTTAGGGATGGCTCCTCCTCAGGGACTCGCTAAAGACCAAAACTGGTATATGCGTGTCTCATTAGCCTATCATACTAGACTGCTATTCTTTATTAATTCAACTATTTCGTGTGCGGTATCATTGCGAATGTTGGAAAAGGCTTACGGCGATTCAGTTTTATGAAAAACACGAACCTACCAATGGTTCAAAGCCTTCAAAGACAGTTTAGAATTCACTGAAGACTCATTCTGGACCACTTTCGACCTCTTCAACTGATAAAAATATTAAAAAAGTGGGAGATACATATGGTGTTTCACATTAGTCAGGCAAGTGTTGGAGAGGTGGCAAAAGATCTGCAAAGCTCTTGCGACTCCGTTCAAATGATTTCGGTGTTTTTTTTTTTTTTTTTTTTTGGGTACGAAACGCGTTATTGCTCGACTCGTTGCGAGAAAGCTGATTTTTTCAAAAATAATAAAGTAAACAGGTCTCCGTGGACATGCTTGATCGCGCGAATCACAACCGCACATTCATGGAGAGCATTACAACTGCCGATGAGATATGGCTTTATGAGTTTGAGAGTTTGAGAGGCAAAAAGGTCAATAAACATCGCAATGGAGGAGAAAACGAGCCGAAACCAGAAAAATCATGAAAAGGCCCTTCAAAAAAAAGGTGATGCTCTTTGTTTTTTCTTTTTGATATTCGTGATTTGGTGCATCACGAATTCGTTCCAGAGGGACAAACGTTCCATAAGAAGTTCTATTTGACCGTATTGCGGTGTTTGCGTGCGAATATGCGYCGAAAACGGTCGGTATTGTGGAAGAACATTTAATGACTTTACACAATGTTAATACACCATCCCATCGAGTCACGTTTTGTAAGCAAATTTGAAACCAAAAACGCAATGAATACCATCGATTAACCACTGCATTCATCAGATTTATTTCTATATGATTTGTTTTGTTCCCCAAACTAAAATTGCTGCTCCGTGGAACCCGTTTTCATTCATTCGATGAGAGAAAACAATATTTGCTGAAGCAGCTGYAGACCATCCCAAAAAGTGCTTATGAAAAATGTTTCGAGGACTGGAAAAATTGTTGTCATAAGTGTAGTGGATTACTTTGAAAATTGCTGCTCCGTGGAACCCGTTTTCATTCATTCGATGAATTCGATGAGAGAAAACAATATTTGCTGAAGCAGCTGTAGACCATCCCAAAAAGTGCTTATGGCAAATGTTTCGAGGACTGGAAAAATTGTTGTCATAAGTGTAGTGGATTACTTTGAAAACAACAAAATAAATATTGATGAATAATTAAATATTTGGCGTTTTATTTAAAATTTTTTATAGCATAACTTCCTTTGGCTTTAAATAACTTATTGGTGCTGTGCAAAGTTTTGTAAGCGACGAAAAAAGTAAATAAAATACGAAAGCTGAAGGATATCCGTTTTGTAGTAATTAAAATGCACTTTATTGTGCATTACATTTTCGTATTTTTTTTCTTTGTATGAAAATCGCCTTTCATAATTTTATTTTACAACATTAAAAGCAATGCTTTCCTGTTGGCCCAAATTCATTGGCTTTCGCGCTTGCAACGCACACTATTTTCACATTAATACAAAGAGTAAATAAGTAAATAAATATGTGTGTTGTGAAGAGAAAAAAAAGTATTTCGTTATTTATATAAACAACAACTACTTTGGTATTTACATAAACAACAACAATAGTGATGCTATAATTGTGCCAAAGACCTTCAAGTACGCATGTTTGCACTACCGTAAGCTATACAAATATGGCAATATTAACACTACATCTTTAATCAACGCATTTGGAATGTGGATATGTGCTCATTATTTACTAATTTATATATATATGTAAGTACATACATATGTATAAACATAAATATTTGTATATTTCATAAACAGCCGCCCGCCAAACAATACTTACAGCTATGTCTGCCTGCACTTGCTTGGTTAGCTTTCGCCATTATCGCCGGTTTTAGTGCGATAATTAAATCTACATACAGCCAAATGTAGGGACGTATCCATGAAAATGCATCCTTGAATTTCGCATATGGCCCACGAAGCACAGACAGACATACTATATATGTACATACATACTTTATCTTCATATACATAATACAATGTACTTACATACATTCTAATGCTGCGTGCTGAAACGCACGCACTTGACGCCACCGTATGCTGTAAAGCGCTGACCGGCCGGCCGCCCATATAGAAAAGCTAAGCKCGCTGCCMTCCCCTCTGGCGATTGYGAAYGCGCCAGCGAGTGATCACAAAGTTGGCGATTAAATATTGTGAAGCAACCGCAGCATTTCAGCAGCACGTTTGCGAAACACATGCATACAGTGGCTACGCTCCATACAGTGCCTTCGTATGTAAACGCCTGCTACAATATAGTTCCAGACAGTAATCAAATAAAATAGTTCACACATTCGTTTGTGTTCGTTTTTTTCACACCATGCTTTATTTTGAATATTTTTTATCACTTCATTTATTTTAATTTCATCTCAAACAACTATACCATGTGCGCCGGCCACTATCAGCAGCAGCCCCATGTGGAGCATTCGCTTCAACGAACACTAAACAATATTTCGCATTCAAGTGACCACCAACTACCCGCCAGGCCCACCACATTTTTTATTTTGCATTTGTGTGTGTATGTGTTT